TTTCCGTATTTGTTTGTGTTTGGATCATCTACATTCCTCGGTGAATCATCTATATCGTCATCATTACTTAGATCTTCATTAATTAATCTTGAATATTTTTGCTTATTGTAGCAAGCATAAATTATTATTACAAATATTGCTATTGTTATGATAAATATTAGTAGCACATGCCACCATTTCAGTACAAATGAGTCAGCTAAGTTTAAAACATTTTAAAATTAATAACTAAAAGTTATAATGTATAATTTGTTACCACTTGGGGCAGTTGTTGTAACTGGATCACTTGGTGTACTACCATGATAATCAACAAAATCTTCAGGATTCATGGTAAACAAATCACGATTTTTATAATTTGAGCATAATACAGCATGTAAGTGTTCACTAGCATTATGTTCATTGTAGATCCATTTAACACCATCATACATGCACCTAATTGGATTACCACCAAGATTAATCTCAATCCGTGACGTTAATTTACAAAATGGCCGAAACACTTGCTCGGGTAAATAATCAATTTGATGATTTGTTAATATCACCTTGACTGAACCTTTATTATTATCAACCGATAAATTGCTCCGACCTAATTCATTAGGAGATATTTTTCCACTATCTAAATTGACATTTAAATTGTACTCGGTGGAAAACACTAAACTATGTGGAGCCAGCACGCTCAATCCTAATTTTGATAAATCTACCACCTTCAATTTTGTTAATGATCTAAATAAATTGGTTGCCAACTTATCTACAGGGTGTTCCATGTTAAACGTGTTCCACCGTATTTTTTCCAAGTTATAAAAGTTATAGAATTTTTTATCTAGCAAATTATTTTTAACGGACACATCATTCACATTTAACACCTCTATACGCCAGGTGTTTATGTCTAAAAAACTGTCCACCAAGCTCTCATTAGCCGTATCAATATCAAGCTCTGAAAATTGTAGCTGGAGAAAATTACGAATTGATCCAGTTATATTACAATTTTTAAATTTTAGCCCGTATGTGGTCACATTAGTCCACTCGTTAAATGTTATATTCACCTTGTTTACGTTATTAAATGTTATTTGATAAACGTGAATGTTACTTAAGTGTGGTAGTGTATAATCCCCATTACATTCAATTAGTTTATGTGTTGAGGTTTCCGTACAAGTACACGTGTGATCTTGTTTACTTGAACCACAAAAATTTGTTGAATTAGTTAAAAATACTATTTGAAGTAAACAAACTATTATTATTATTATTATTATTATTCGACTAGTTGTAAACATATTTGAATTTATATAATAATAGTTTAGGTATAGTAACTACAGTATGTTGTAATAAATTATCTTTAAAAAATTAAATAAGTTTAAATAGTATTTTTATACTACTTATTTAAATTGAATTATATAAATGTTTCCAAACTTATTATTTAAGCAAACAATGAGTAATGCTTATTATACGTTACTTGTATTAATATAACATTTTTATTTTTAAAATGTGTGTGGGTAATTTAGATTAATATAGAATATCCATAGTAATCGGTAATGTAGCATTAAATATAACTAACTCATAAAAGTAATCTTAACGTCATGAATCATTTAGTAATAAAATTATATATATATATATTGTTAACAGACTTATAACCTCAGACTAAATATCAGTCTTTTTCAATGGACGTAATACATGGATTTCAAAGTTCACAAAACTGGAGTTTGAAATTAATTATTTAAATAAAGATGTTGGGTTAATCCCCGGGGATATTTTAGCCCTTATTGCAATGTAAATTTTTATGAACAAAGTTAATATTATTGTTAATGATGTTCATATTTAAATAATTATAATCACCAAATATGCCAAAATTAAGTAAATATTTTTTATTTAGCGTATTTAATTACTATAATTTAGTTCTTGATTAAGCTAATTATTTAAATTAGTTATAATTTTGTACAAAATTACGTTAATTTTTATCACAATTAAGTTAATTTGGTTCTAATCTAGTTAATTTTGACAATAATTAAGTTAACTTTGATCACAATCTAGTTGATTTCATTCACAATTAGTTTAATTAGGGCCACAATTAAGTTAATTTGGTTCAGAGTATAGTTAATTTTAACAACAATCAAAGTAATTTTGATCATAATTTAGTTAATTTCCTTCACAATTAAGTTAATCTGGTTCAGAATATGGTTAATTTGACAATAATTAAGGCAATTTCGATCATAATTTAGTTAATTTCCTTCACAATTAAGTTAATCTGGTTCAGAATATGGTTAATTTTGTTTGAAATTAAGTTATTTATTAAATTGTGAATAGAATGAAAATTATATACTTTTATATATCAAATTAAGGACATAATCCTATGAGCTTGGCTTAACTTCTTTATCAAAGTTCTCAAGTCTAAAGTTCAATTTTGGTGCCTTAGAAATCTAAGTCAAAAACGTATTGATATTTTGTCCGAAGTTATAAGTCTGTTAACAATATATATATATTATTTAATATAATGCAATAATGTTTAGGTTTTAACTAATATTTTATTAATACAGTATAAAATAATCTTAATAACATATTATGAAATGTTTTATCATCAATATTTAATCTTCTTTCAATTTAATTAAATAAATCATTTTCTTTGTATATATTGTAATACACTGACTATAGTTACATAATAACAAAACTATACCTAACAATACCTATTATGTGACTTCTAGAAAAAAAACTAGAAAAATATTTCTCGAATGTTTGCATAAAGGCTTTTGTTAGGGTACTGCTATAAAAAGGGAATATTATGTCATGTATGGGACAGTTAGCCCATAGTGAAACCACTATTATATGATCACTGGCTATGAGTGGCACATAAGACCAGTTTTTGACAGTGAATGCTATACCTTATGTAATGTGTATAGACTTGAATTGAATGTAAAAACTATTGAATTGAAATAATAAATAAATTTGTGAATAATAAATTTGTGTATTTTAATAAACTGGACCCTAATGAACAAGCTCAATTAACATTTAATTAAAAGACTACGTAAGTTATTTGTGCTGACAATTACCAAGATCAGACAATGCTTACAATATTTAATACTTTCTCCTCATATTTATAATTAATTTTATTTAAAATTGTTATATAATCAAAACAGTTTACTTAAATTAGTAAAAATAACTTGTTTTATTAAATATCGGATAACTTGAATAATGATTTTTTGCAGTACCAGATACAACCACTATATCCCATTGCAGTAACCACCTCATAATGACCTGGGCCATTGTTGTGTTATATTTATTGGCAATGTCTTTGAGCACCGGCTCATTGAATAACGTTTGGTTGGCTTTTGCGAGTGGGCTGTAGGCGACCACTTGGATGCCTATGCGCTCACAAAACCGCACGAACTCTACTTCAGTCAGCTATGGGTTCACTTCTATCTGGGATTTTAAATACAATTTTTGTTTATATTATATTTGAAATATATTTTCAAAAATACTATTTGAAACTAAATCCTTAACATTTATCGATTGTATAAAATTAAATACTCTATGATTAAAATACAGTTTAAAATATTTTGATATTTTTAAAAAAGCCTGATCGGAGTGATTCCACTTTTAAATACAATTCAGAAACTTTTAAATATTAATTACTATTAAAAACAAGCATGACAGTTTATATGTTTACTTTAATCAATTGTACAATAAAACATTTATGTAATACTGTAAATTCAATGATTAATATACAGTTTGAAAATATTTTGATAATTTTTAAAAATAAAATTCATTGAAACTTAATTCAATTTTCGTGTAAAATTTAAAAACTTAAATTAATTACAAATAAAAAAAGCAAGCATTACAGTTTAAATGTTTAACACTTATTTTGAATAAAACATTTATGTAATACGTAATCAATGTCAATTTTATTACACACAGTTGTGTAATTCTACTAAATACATTAGAATAAAATAGTGATCCACGTCAAATTAGACACCCGATACTTTTAACCAGACCCTTCTTATATACATCTTCCATGCCTTTCCACGTCTTCACTACCGATATATTGGAGTCACATGTTTTGCCTTTTTGGGTGAGGGGTATGTCGTCCCCTCCCTTCTCAAACCCAAAGAGGAAATGTATTAAATATAAGTCCAAATACTGTATATCCAGGCGCTTGTGAATCAACATCAAGCCTTCTGTGAATTTAATTTATGTTTAACAACTGTACTATATATACAAAATATAGTAGTATAACAACAAACATTTAGATTTATCACCTAATGGCCTAATCATAAAAACATCTTATTATTTTGTTAATAACTATACAGTAAAGCTTGTAAAATAGTACTAATTAAATTTTTTAAAAATAATTATAAACAAATTAATTGTGGGATAAATTAATAAAATATTACATGCTGCATTAAATGCATAAATTTAAGCTCATTTTGAATTGGAACCGAAAATTAAGTTAATTAAATATTTTCTAAAAATGATTTTTAAAATAATTAATTTTTACAGTTAATAAAACATACTTTATATGTTAGAGCTACAAATCAAATGATCCAGTCCCACTCAACTGAATCAGTATTTTTTGAATATGAAAAAAATAGTAATCAGTAGACAGAATGCACAAAATATTTAAGCATAACCAAAATAATTGCACAATAATTTTAAATTTGCACATTTCATTTATTTATAATATATAATATAGATGTAATAAAATCATCATAAAACTCAATTTACCAGTACAATTTTAACCACAACACAACTAAACAAAATAAAGGGTGTGACTAAAAAACCAACATTTTAAAAAACCAACAGAAATAAATCCAACAAATTAAAAACCAACAAGTAATAAACCAACAAATTATAAACCAACAAAATTAAAAACCAACATTTTTATAAAACCAACAAAATTAAAAAACCAACAACAATTAACTATCAACAATTAAATTTGCTGGTTTTATTAATTGTTGGTTTTTAAAAATGTTGGTTTTTTAATTTTGTTGGTTAATAATTGGATTTATTTCTGTTGGTTTTTTGATTAACACCCCTCTTTGATAACTGCCTCCAAATAATGCATTTGTTTGATGTCATCGATAGTGACGTCTCTATTAGTGCCCAAAACAGAGTCCATTTCCTCGTGAATCCGGTGCTGTATATCCCGATCCAAACCTATTGATTTTTTAAAATTTATAAATTATTTCCCTTGATAACTTTTACAGTAATAACTATCTGTTACCGTTGTATTTATAAATTATAAGTTTAAATTAATTTTATAAAAATAGTTATACCAATAAAGTAAAGTGTCCAGGACAGACATAGGGCTGTGGTGTCGTGTCCGGCAAACATAATAGTGTCGACCTCTTCCCGGATGTCCTCCAGAGTCAGTGAATTATCATTGAAATGATTCTCTAATAATAGGTTCAGAAATGCTAATCTCTTGCGTTTACTTGAGTGGTGTCGTGTCCGGCAAACATAATAGTGTCGACCTCTTCCCGGATGTCCTCCAGAGTCAGTGAATTATCATTGAAATGATTCTCCAATAATAGGTCCAGAAATGCTAATCTCTTGCGTTTACTTGGTTTGCAATCACTGTCTGAACAGACATTTCCCTTATTTTGCAGTAAATAGTCTTTCCTGTCATTAATCACACGTCGAGTCAATTCATGAGATATATTGAGGTTTCGCTTGAATTGTTTGCCCGAAGATGTCATATAAAAGATCGCATTTAACCACAACATAGGGTTAAACAGTCGGTCCAACAGACATTTCCCCATTTGCTGAATGGCGTGAATGTAGTCCTGGTTTTCATTTTGTTGGGCATTCATTTTGATACCCATTCCTGACTCTGGGGTTTGAATAATAAAATTATTATACAATACTTTTATAAGTCATAATATGTTTAGTATTTATATGAAATACCGGTTATGATGTCCAGTGCTGTCGGGAACACGAGATCACAAATGTTTACACCCTTTATGTCCACACAATCGGCTAAACGTTTCACCAGAATATCGGACTTATCGTTAAAAATGGGCACAAATTCTGTGAGAATTGTCTGATGGAAGGCAGGGGTCAGTAGTTTTCGGCGTTCCCTCCATAGGTCGGCCGAGTCGTTGATAAGCAATCCCTTTCCCAACCAGTCATACAGTAATTGATATTCAAATGCCTTCTCGATATTGACATTGCATTTGAGAAAATCCTATTTAATAAAAATTTAAAACTTATTTATTTAAAAAATAGCCATTACTATGACATACCTGTGCTAATTCGTGATTGTATATCAAAACCATAACTCTGTTGGCATTCCTATACTTAAATATGCCTTCCTTTCTATATAAGTGTGCCATTGATTTGAATATATAATCAGCAGCTATTGTAATATAACTAAAATTAGTAATTGTACATAGTATCTATAAACTTTATAAATTACTTACGATTTTGTTCAACATTGCAATTGTTCCAGATCATATCCAAGTTACCAAAAAGTCTATACCTAGCTGGTGGACCGGGTATACTAGCTAACATAACTTTTCTGTAGCTATACCCAACTAGTGCCTTGTACAATTTAATTAATAAGCTAGCAACAATTACTACAATAGATATAAAAATCCAGATGTTGTTGTTGTTTAAAAAATAATTAATCATTATAATTATATTAGCAAAGTATTATATTTATGATGATTGGTATTATACGGCTTATATTAATTAATTATATTATATTAATTTTTNATATTAATTAATTATATTATATTAATTTTTTTAAGTGCAAATGTGTTTGCATAGAAAAAGTAAAATAATTAGCAAAAACATATTGAATATGAAATTATAGCAATTTTTTGTAAAAAAGAAACTTGATAGATATGTAAATATACTGTAGTTTTTTGTTGCTTGTTGTTTGAAAAACAAAAAGATTAACAAGTACTGATAAAAGTTATTTACTCTAGCAAAAACATTTGACAATTATTATTATTAATAACTTGTTAACTTATCTTTAACTTATTAAAGATAAAATGATAATCAGCTTAGTAAACAGGGCACCTTGATAAAATGAGCACAGAGTTCATTCAGACAAGTCAATAATAAATTGAATACACGATAAAAGTTATTTTAAATCCAGAACATACAGTCCACACCTAACTGGCAACTTTAAAAGCATTTTCATATAATAATTATTAATATTATAGTGAATATACAGTTGTGTATACTTTGTTTTAAAATGTTTAAAAGTAAAACAAAATTGTTGCAACAATTGTTTGTAATTAATAATAGTTTGCTTAATATTAACAGTGTTATGAATGATAACTTAAAGTTTTTAACTTGTGTTAATAATGTCAATCAAATTAACATTAACGATAGTAATAATGTTAAATTGTGTAAAATTGACATATCTTGTCATAAAACAATAAGTAAAACGAACTGGCTTACAGTTAAAGAAAGTTATAAATATAACAACAAAGGCCCGTTTATTTGTAAATTTAATAATTGCACTAAAAGCTATACAACGTATCAGGGTGTTAAGCAACATATCTATACAAAACACTCCGATAATAATAACTATATTTGCTGTTATGCTAATTGTGGCAAAGGTTACAAAACTCAGTATCAATTACTGAAACACAAAACCATTGACCATGTTGAGTCCAAATATACCTGCAATTACGACAAATGCGGCAAAGTATTTATCGGTATTTGTGCTCTGAATCGACACAAAAGGGTCCACACGGGAGAGCGACCCTATCCATGCGATCACCAGGGATGCAATCAACGGTTTAAAGATCCTGAACATTTAAATCAACACAGAATGTCCATTCATGAAAACCTGAGACAATTCAAGTGCGAGTACCCAGGGTGTGGTCAAAGTTTTAATCGCAAATCTTATTTGCTGTTACACCGGGACATACATAACACCGATAAGTCATTTGTATGCGATGTCGATGGTTGTGACAAACGGTTTGTTATCAAACGCTATTTAGTGAATCATAAACGTGTTGATCATTTCAACGATCGCGTGATTACATGTGATTTCCAAAACTGTGGCAGGTCATTTAAATGTAATTCTAAGCTAAATCAACATAAAAAGATTCACACGAATGATAAGCCGTTTGTTTGCGATGAGTGCGGCCATAGGTTTCGGTCTAACTCTCATCTAAATGCTCACAAAAATATACATTCGACTGAAAAACCATTTGTTTGTAATATAGACACTTGTCGTAAGAGTTTTAGACAGTCATCCGGGTTACGTCATCACCAGAGATCTATGCACTATAAGAGTGAATTCAAATGCAATTACAGACCGTGTAATGAATGCTTTGATAGCAAACACGGTTTACGAGAGCATATAATTGGCGACCATTTGAATGGCAAGTATATTAAGTGTGGTGAATATAATTGTGATTATATTGCCGCAAATGATTGTAATGGCAAACATCATATGAAAAGACATTTGAATAATGTTCATAAGAATTATAAATAAAGTTCTAGATATTAGTAACTATTGTTTAAATTTTTCTTTTGATTCATTAAATTATTAATTTCTATTTACAATGTAAACTTATTATGCTAAAATTTAATAAATTAAAATAATAACATAAACGCCATACTAATAACATGTACTAATAATAAAATATTGCATTATTTCTTATGATTTTCTTATAATTTAATAGCTTTTTTAAAATCACAATATTTTGCTTAAAAGTCAGTACAAAGATTAAATTAAATTATTTTATTCTTGTATAGATAAACAATTTTAATCTCAAATAAATAAAATTATCAATTTTCCCTTATTGTCTATTTATATTAAACCTTAAATTATATTTAAAATAGTGTTGACTGAATTTCAAAAACATTGCATTTCCCTGTAATAACATTGTTTATCACAAATAATTTATTAATAAACCAACATGACCTGTAGTCTAATGTCCAAAAATGTTGTTTTTCAAAAATAATTTGTTTGAATTAAAGCTTAATCCCAGGGTTCACCTAGCTTTATCAATCGATAATTTATTTCTAGGTATTAATAATTTCAGGCCATTAAGACATGTGAGCACCAGTAGGTCCAGTTTGTCCACTGAATGTACATATGATAATTAAAGTTTCATTTGGTTTTATGTTTCACAACGATTTGGTTTGAATTTTATATAACATGGTAGTATGAGTACATTATTATAAAGTGAATTGATTTGAAATATTGTTTTTAATAAGTTTATTATTTTGAAAATGAATATCAATATTACCACCAATATATTGAGACAATTGTTTGCAATTAATAACAGTTTACTTCATATTCATAGTGTTGTGAATGAAAACTCAAAATTTATTAATTCTAGTGTCGATAATAATGGTAAAATTGTTACTATTAATAACAATATTACAAATTTGATTATATGCAAAGTTAATGCAGTGAATAATGAAAACTGTGTTGTGAATACAAAAACTAACCAAATATTGAAATGTAGTTTTAGACACTGTGACAAAGTTTATTCACGTAAATCTAGTCTCGATTATCACATTATAGCAAAATACGGAAATAAGAGATATGTTTGCAAATACAGTAATTGTGACAAATGTTATGTTACAAAGAGTTTATTAGTTAAACATAAAAACATTTTCCATTTAAATAAATCCCAATTTATTTGCGATTACGACAAATGCGGTAAACTATGTGTCAGTGAATCGGCTCTAGTGGCCCACAAAGCGAGTCATTCGAGTAAAAAGCCATTTGTTTGCAATTATAATGGCTGCAGTAAACGTTATAAATTGTCAGGAGATTTAACTGCACATAAACGTGTCGTTCATATTAACAACAGGCGATTTAAGTGCGATTACCCTGGTTGTGGCCAGCGATTTAACATTAACTACGGCCTAGTCGTACACCGGGCCACACATACCACCGATAAACCGATTGTTTGTGATGTCGATGGATGCGGTAAACGTTTCGCTATTCAACGCTACCTACAAAAACACAAATACCTGGATCATTTAGGTGGTCGCAAGTTTAAATGCGATTTCGACAACTGTGACAGGGCATTTGAAGCTAAATGCCACCTTATGGACCATCAACTCGTTCATACGGGAGAGAAACCAATCAAATGTGATGAATGTGACAATTGGTTTAGACATAAAAAGACTTTAATCATACATAAAAGGCAACACACGGGTGAAAAGCCGTACGTTTGCGATGTAGACGGTTGTGGACAATGTTTTAAACAAAGACCTCTACTTAATCAACACAAACGCAAACATATTAACAATGCATTCAATTGTCATTATAAGTCGTGTAATGAATGCTTTGACGGCAACCATAGTTTACGACAACATATAATTGATGACCACTTGAACGGCAAGTATGTTGAGTGCAGTGAACCTAATTGTTATGCTGTGACGGCAAATACTGGTCAAATGAGTATACATAAAATGAGAACTCATTGCATGGATGGAAAATTTAAATGCGATTTCAGTGAATGTGATAAAAGTTATAGTACTAAACGTGGTCTCTATAAACATAAGTCCACACACTCTATGGATAAGCCGTTTGCTTGCGATATCGATGACTGCGATAAACAGTTTGCTATTAAAACTGATTTAACACATCATAAACGTGTTGAACACTTTAAGTGCGATTTTGAAAATTGTGACAGGACATTTGATAATAAATATACCCTAATTCAACATAAATTGTGTCATTCAAGTGATAAGCCTTTTGTTTGCGATGTGGACGGCTGTGTCAAGCAATTTGCTTACAAATCGAGTTTAATAAACCATAAAAAGGGCACACATTTAGATATCCGAAAGTTTGCGTGCGATTTCAAAAACTGCGATAAAATGTTTGCTTTTAAAGATTCACTTAAAAAACACAAACTAATACATACAGGAGAAAAGCCGTTTGCTTGCAGTGAATGTAACCGTGGATTTACGGGTAAATCTCAGCTAATTATCCACAAAAGGGTACATTCGGGTGAAAAACCTTATATTTGCAATGTGGACGCCTGTGGGAAAGGTTTTACTCAAAAACCGGGTCTAATTGCACACCAGAAAAGCATGCATTTTAAAACTGAATTCAAATGCAATTACAGACCGTGTAATGAATGCTTTGATAGCAAACATGGGTTAAGAAAACATATAATTAGCGACCATTTGAACGGCAAGTATGTGAAGTGCGGTGAATATAATTGTGACTATATTGCCAGAAATGATCCTGTTGGCAAAAATCATATGATTAGACATATGAACAGTGTTCATAAAAATTTTAAATAAAGTTTCAGATATTAGTTTAATTACTCAATTCATAAATACGTTTTAATCAAACGCAATAAATTATTACATAATAAGTTATAAAATATTATACATCAATTTAATTAAGGGTTTTATTTGGTTAATAATTTACAATAATACAGTCGTTAGTAGTTTTCAATAACCAAGCTTAATTATTATTTTATGAATATATTAATACTATTGTTTGTATTGAATAATTAACAAAATATATTTATTTAAAAATGTGAATAAAGAACACAATGTTTTATATTTAATTATGTTTAGTATTTATTTTAATTAAATCAATGTTTTATAATCCGAATACTGCCAAGCTTATTGTTTGAAAAGAAATAATCAGGGTCATTGTTTGCTTTAATATTGATTCAAGGGCTCACAATACTTTATATGGCTGATAAGGATGCTAGTTTCCATAGTAAACCTGATAAAATCACTGAACCGGATGAGATTATATTATAATAACTATAAATATTGGAAATATTCATTTGCTTTGTGTTTGAAACTTTTGTTTTCATTAAAAATTTCATCAATTTGATTACTAGTTTATAATTGAAATAACCTGAATATAGATTTAATTTTTACAATATGAAAATTAAAAGTAATGTGCATTTATTGACAAAACTGTTTGCTATTAATAAAAGTTTGCTTAAAATTAATAATGTCTTGAATGATAACTCAAAACTTATAACGTGTATCAATAATAATAAACAAATTATGCTCAAGGAAAATAGTAATAAATTAAATTGGTGTAATATTAACGCATCTAGTAACAAACAATTAAAGTACATTAATAATAAGCGACTTATTTGTAGATATAATAAATGTGGCATGGTTTTTAGAAATCGATATAGATTATTTAAACACAGATGCCTAGATCATTTAATTGAGTCAAAATATATTTGTAGTTACGATAAGTGCGGAAAACAATTTTTCGATAAATATGCACTGAATCGACACAAAAGGGTCCACACGGGAGAAAAGCCTTATCCATGCGATCACCAGGGATGCAATCAGCGGTTTAAAGATCCTGAACATTTAAATCAACACAGAATATCCGTTCATGAAAACCTGAGACAATTCAAGTGTGAGTACCCCGGGTGTGGTCAGAGTTTTAATCGCAAATCTTATTTGCTGTTACACCGGGACATACATAACACCGATAAGCCATTTGTTTGCGATGTCGATGGTTGTGACAAACGGTTTCCTGTTAAACGCTATTTAGTGAATCATAAACGCTTTGATCATTTCAATGGTCGCGTGATTACATGTGATTTCGACAACTGTGGCAGGTCATTTAAATGCAAAGCTAAGCTAACTCAACATAAAACGATTCACACGAATGATAAGCCGTTTGTTTGCGATGAGTGCGGCCATAGGTTTAGGACAAACTGTCGACTAAATAACCACAAAATGGTACATTCGGGTGAAAAGCCATTTGTTTGTGATATAGACTCTTGTGGTAAGAGTTTTTCACATAAATCAAATTTAAGTGCACACCAGAAATGTAGACATTTTAAGAGTGAATTCAAATGCAGGCATAGACCGTGTGATGAATGCTTTGATAGCAAACAAGGGTTAAGAAAACATATAATTGGCGATCATTTGAACGGCAGGTATGTTAAGTGCGGTGAATATAATTGTGACTATATTGCCGCAAATGATGCTAGTGGCAAAAATCATATGAGAAGACATTTGATCAAGGTTCATAATAAATAGTATAACTTCTACATAATGTGTTGAAAATGTGTTGAACTTTAGTATACTGTATATGATTTAACTTATTTGTCTCTTGATTTTACAATTGTTTATTTAAATTGTATAAAATTATATAATTAATACACACACACACTACAGTACATATGATTATATATCCATACATTTATCATTATTATTTAAAAATTCAATTTCTATATTTGATTTTAACCAGATGATAAAATAATTACTAGTGAAATTAAAATACTACTGTATACTATAATTGTGTTTTTAATAAAACTGTTTACTTTATTCACTAAACATTTGATAGTTTATACTTTCAAACTCTACCATCTGTATATTTTATAGGTTTATAGGTTTATAAATATAATAGGTTTATATTTTGCAAAAATATATCGCATATTCTATATAATAACACTAATACCTTATACCAGTGTAATAATTAATGCATACTTAAACATTTGAAAATAAAAGTTTTATTTTAAAAATTCAATTGGCAAAAACTTATTAATTTGCATTATGTGCCAGGTAAACCTATTCACACAAATACAGACACTATCGTCACCTACCGGTGCCAGTGAGCGCCTGTATGTGTGACGTCACACAATACGTGTATTAATCGTAACGTATTTACGTTTACTGTTATATTCAGTACACAAATGGGTTTTCAATGAGAGATCCATTCATTTGATTCAATAATTAACACAAATCTCATCACAACTCGTATTTCTATGACTATTATTATACCATAAACTGTACTATCATTTCGTACGTCTGCCTCACATCCCGTTCCCCACCACTCAGTCAGCGATAGACATGTATATCAGTGGAGATAACCGTGTCTTAGGCAACGGTGGTAATGACTATTATTATACCATAAACTGTACTATCATTTCGTACGTCTGCCTCACATCCCGTTCCCCACCACTCAGTCAGCGATAGACATGTATATCAGTGGAGATAACCGTGTCTTAGGCAACGGTGGTTGTGGTGGTGATGGTGGCGGTGGTCAGGGGGCCCGACACTAGCGCGCACACTAACAGCCCGTACGACAACATCCCGGTGCGACTGACCACTGGTCCGACACGTGCGGCCAGTTGTCACTCATAGGTATTATACAGTGTTGTCTAAAGTGTCACCGCAAGAGGTCCACGAAATGGCAGACAAAACGTACGCCAAAGTGATGATCGAAATGAGGGCCCAATTGGAGGACGAGATGGACTTACATAAGGATGAAGTGCTCATTATCACTGAAATTGTCGATAAGATGTACTTCAGGGGTCAGTCGACCGATGGCACGCGAGTTGGCATTATTCCCAAGAGGTTTGTCCACATCTTGGACCACATCCCGCCTAACGGTGCGTATCAGTTGCGGTGATAGTCTGTGTGGTATTGTCTCAATGTTTATATACCTGTTCACCACGTGTTTAATCTCATAATAGTTACGTGTTTGTGGTTATTGTTACCGTATTTTTATGCAATAACGTAACCCTGAGGCTATTTGTTAGATAATAAGTTAATGGTATTTATTATGAGTGCTATAAAGTTATTTTTAATAGTAATTAGCAGCTAGGTAAACGTGTACTAGTTATAAGTATTTTAGATTATTAGTTTAATGTTATGTGAAATTAATGTTTAATTTTTATGAATTTAATAGTTTTTATAAAGTTTATGAACTGTGGGTTAAAATACCGAGAAATACATGTGTAATCACCAGAAAAAATCCCCAAAACTTTATTTGATTCATCAAAATATTATTAAAATAATTGTATGTTTTTTGGTGAGATTTTCCTGTAGACTGTATTTCACAATCAAAATGTTATTTCATTAGTCGTATGTATTATAGCCTTCAGTCAGTCGGTCTCTCTCACTGACAATGTCTTAACAATTTTTATGTCTATTTGTATTAATGATTACAACAAAATTTATTTGTTATTAAAGGTATTCATTAACGCGATAATCAGTTTGGGAAGTGTAGTAACTATCAGCGGTTTGAAGTCATAATTAGCTATCAGAAAGACGTTAAACCGATTTGTTTTCATAATATTTTATAACAAAATTTTTTCGCTTAATGCCTGAAATACGAGTGCAAAAAACAGTCTGTGATTTAGTGTCGATTTAAATGTTATTTTTAAATATCTAATTATTAATATGCTTTTCATAATGACTGTTATGTTTGCGTTAATCATACGATAAATATGAGGAAAAAATTGTTAACATATCTATAAATGCGATCAAAGTCTATGTGTTCACTCAACTGTGCCTCAAACTCGACCTCTAGTTTACCACACACTGTGCCCACAGATAATTAACTTAAGACTTTCTGTGACCCGACTATAGACCCACTGTTGGACATGACATCCACGGCCACTACGCCCGCCAACGGCGCCCACAACCATCACATCTACACCAATGACAGCAGTCTATACGAAAACACCGGTGACATCAACGACTGCCCGATGGACAGCCCGCCCTCCTATGACCACGTAATCAGTTCGATGATGTACTCGGAGGCGCCGGTAGCTCAGCCTTCGTCGCTGGGCTACAGTAACGCCTACGTAGGGGACGTCCAGTCCTACGGTAGGGCTTTGTTCTCATTTCACGCCGTATTCCCCAATGAGTTAAGTCTTCGGGAGAACGAAATCGTTCATCTGATCCGTCATATCGACGGCGACTGGATTGAGGGCGAGTGCGACGGGAGGGTTGGGATCTTTCCCAAGAGTTTTGTCGAGATTATCGTTGACTGCGACCGCAATAACAGCGTTACGGCCGCCGACGAGAGCCATCTGAGTGGCGGTGCGGTCGGCGATTACGAGTTGTTTCCGACCGACACTTTCGGTCGAGTTTTGTACGATTTTGACGGCGAGATTGAGACCGATTTGAGGGTATGTTTGGTGTCTTTTGCCGTCATTTAGTCATATTATTAGTGAAAAGTAGTGATAATTAAGTCGATTAGTGGTTCAGACAGATAATGACAATTAGTTTTTACGATTAGTTTAAGTTTGTATGACTTAATGAGTGAATTGTTTGCTAATGTCTTTGTGTGATGTGATCCGTGGTTTAGATCCGAGCCGGTGATACGATAACACTGATCCGCAAAGCAGACACCAATTGGTGGGAAGCGATGGACGACTTGGGAAACGTGGGACTCATTCCCGGCAATTACTGCGAACTAATAGACGCCGACATATCGGCCATACATTCGGCCAACTCGTCAATGCTTACCACGAGTTTCGATGAGACACCCATTACTCAAGACTATGGGACACATGTTGTGCCCAACAGTGACCACAATACCTATTCCAGTGATTTATACGCTAATGATAGCCATACGACGACACCAGTGATAACCACAACACTCGCAGACATTATACCAGTGATAATACCAGAAGTGGACGAACAAGAAGTGCAAGATTTTCCTATAACTCAAAACTATACCAATGATGTCGACCACCATATAGTCAGCGATTATAACGGATCAGCTCTCGAGCCTAAGTTATCGCCATTAGTTCCGCGAAGAGCTGCGCCGTCGGTTCCCAACGCGACCGCCGCTCCTAAAACACCGGATATGAGTGCCGCTGCCAATAGACATACGCCAAAAGTGTCGCCCCATAGACCCCCGCCTCCCGTTCCCAAACACAAGGGTCGGCACCGGAGTAACGACAGCATAGACAGCGTCCATATGACTCGACTCGAGTCCGTGCGCTCCAGTATTACATCGAACTCGAGCTCGAGTTCAGGCAAATCGGATACGGCGTCGGGAGGGGTGGCGACCCCCACCGCTACTACCAGTGCGGGTCAGGCGGACAGCGGCGGGGGTCAGCAACAGGTCGACAGTCGGAGGAAAAAGGTTTGAATAGACTTTGCGCTGAATTTCTATTGAAAACTATTTTTGAACATTAGATAAGAGTTTGAGTTTAGATTAAATGCTTTTGATTTATGGGGAATTTAATCGCAACTATTTGTGTCAACAATTTTCCACGGCATACCCTTCCCCCAGACCTACAGTTCCCATACTATCTCTAAAAGTTTACACATGCTATCTCTGTAAACACTGTTATCTAAAATAGTTATCTATTTGTTAATGCAATCTATAACGCGATTAGTAGTCATAATAGGATTGAAACTAATCATAAGTTTTGTGAATTAATAAACTAATTGTTTGAGTGCCTGTCCCATAGGTTCGGGAGCAAAGGGGTTGCGTTATAATGGAATTACTGCAGACGGAAAGGGATTACCGGATGAATCTGGAGGTATGCGCCGACATATTCCTCAAGAACCCCGAAGAGGCCAAGAATAATGGCGTCGATTTGAAGCGACTGTTTGGGAACCTGGAGGACATCATAGACGTGTCGGCGCTGTTGATCCGGAAGCTCGAGGAGTCGACCCAAATGAAGAAATACGAGCACCAGATGGTCGGCAAGTGTTTCCTGGATGTGTTGGACCAGATGAAGGACGCCTACAGTCTGTACTGTAAAAATCACGACCAGTTGCAGCCATTGTGGAACCGATACGACGGTTAGTTTACCACCGATTGTCTCGCGAATTGAGTATTGAATTAGTTTTAGATTTTAAAGTGTTAGGTTAGGTTAAAGTTATTCAGCAGGGTTCGTAATATTTTGAAATTTTTTATCATTCAGTTAAGCATTGATTTACAATTAATTTAATAATTAAAACTCACTTTTATTTATTTAATATAACTGAACGCTAACTAACAATTCATTATTTATATCTACTTTTTGGGGGAACTGTAGCCCAACCGGACGCCAAGCAATACCTGGCCCGCGGTCTGGACGTGATGCGCGAGCGCACCAACTGTTTTGACATACCCTCTGTGCTCATCAAACCGGTGCAACGGATACTGAAATACCCGCTCCTACTGAACGAACTGCACAAATGCACCGAAGATGGCCACGAAGACAAGCCGGACCTGATCCTGGCCATCGACC